AGTATCACTATGGAAGTAGGATTGCCCAACCTTCCTTCCGAGGAGTGGCTGGTGGGTTTGAACCGCCAGCCTTCTGGTTAGCAGTCAAGTGCTTTAGCCATTATGCTACCAGAGCTCCTGAACATGGACTAGATATTAGAAAATATTAAAGAATATTTATTGGGTTCTCATGGTATACTACTTACATAAAACCAAACCAGTAAGAAAACACTTCTTATCTGTTAGAAATTAATGATATATTAAAGTATGTTGGGAGATGATGTATTAGTCAAGAGATCAAATGACATATTGCATTGGGCAGATCTGCTGCAAGTGACCTCTTTAAAGTGTTAAAAATCAAAGGTATCACTTTAAGGACTCAGGTGTGCCTGACCTGAACCATGGTATTTTCATTGGGCTCATATGCATGCAAAAGCTAGACAGTGAATAATGAAGACTAAAGAAGAATTGATGCCTGTGAATTATGTTGATGAAGAATATTGAATATATCATGGACTGCTGGAAGAATGAACAACTCTGTTGGAAGAAGTACAAATAGATTGCTCCTTAGAAGTGAGGATGTGAGACTGTCTCACATACTTTGTTATCAGGAGGGACTAGTCCTGGAGAAGGTCATCATGCTTGGTAAAGCAGAGGGTGAATGAACAAGACACAGGCCCTCAGTGAGATGGATTGACACAGTGGGCACACGTTGGGCTCAAACATAGCAATGATTATGAGGATGGTGCAGGATTGGACAGTTGTTCGTTCTGTTGTAAGTAACGTCACTCTGAGTTGAAACCTACTTGATGGCACCTAACAACAACAACATATTAGTATGTGAGATGTGCAGAGAGGAATGAAGTATACAGTGTTCTGTGTACTGATACCAAACCCTGCACTGACTCCTGAGTTCTTTCAATCCACAGACATGTATTATGGAACTACATGTGCCACGCTTCTGGGTACCAGAGACACAGCACTGAACAGAGCAGACACATATCTGTGTTCTCATGAAGTCATGTAGGGGGAGAGAGGCAATAGTCAGTAAGTAAAACACATGGTATGTTAGATGGGGATAAGTGCTGGGGAGAAAAATAATACAAGGAAAGGGGAGGTAAAGCAAGGGTGGTAAATCCTATGGTCATAGAGAACTCCACAGAGAAAGTAGCAATTGAACAAAGACTTGAAGGAAGGGAGGGAGGAAGCTACTGAGATACCTTGGGGTGAGGTCCAGGTTGGGGATCATGCTTAGAACAAGGGATCAAAAAGGAGATCACTGTAAATGAGTACAGTGGACAAGATTCCCTTTTTTCTGCCCTTTCAGAAAACTGCCACCTTGTGCACCTCTGTAATTGAATCAGTATGTTTGGCACAGTAGAAGTGGTCCTAGATGGTATGGTTTTATTTATTTTCTTTTTAAAATGTTACATTTTTAAAAAAAAATTATTTTAAACATAAGTTGTATGTGTTCATTGTGGGAAAAAATTGGTTTTTTTAACATCCCAGAAGCACATAATAGAAAAAGTAGGGATTTTTGATTAAGGGTGGTGTTTGAACACATGAGCTTATCTGCTCCAGCCAGAAACTATAGCAACCGATGCAGTAGGAGAGAAGAGACAGTAAATAAAAGAGTTACTAAATTTGGAAACCAGAAAATAGTAGTAGCTCTTTTAGCAGCTTGAGAATATGGAAAGCTATATGCCTGCATGGGAAGAAGTCTAGAAGCAAGCCCCCATATCTCAATAAAGCTGTGAAAATTAAAAAAAACAAACAAACAAAAAAAACAAGTCACTTCTTAATGTAAAACCATGGAAGAACTCAAGAATTAAATTTAAGATTTAAATTAAAGAATTCCTTTAAAGAAGGAATTGAATATAGAGCATAATTCAGATTGAAAGGCTCTACAAGTTTCAGTAGATTTCTTGATTTCTCCCTCAAATTGGTACAACCTCTTCCCCTCCCTGGGAAAACACTGGAGGTTTGTTCTTGAGAGAGATGGAGTGGGAGAGGCAAACGCAACAGGAGCCTTAAGTTAAAGTCTACATATTCAACATGGAGGCCTCTAGCCCTCTTTTTCTACTCATTTGCCAGAATGTTGGAAGCAGATTTATCCATCCCCATAGGATTATTATGAAGATTAAATGAGTTAAAAATTGTGATGTGTTTAGAATGGTGCCTGCTAAATAGAAAATGGCTTAATGTCAATATTAAATTAAACTGCTAAATAATTAAAAATGGTTGCCTTTGTAGGGCCAGAAGCAGATGTAGAAACAGATGGGGAGAAATAGGGTAGGACATTGTTATTTTTATTATAAGCTTTCAAGAATATTGAGCTCTTTAAAGTATGTACCTTTACAGAAAATTTTAAGTAGAAAGTAAAAGCCTCTTCTCCTGTGCAACATATATAAATTCTAGAACTGGCGTCCATCACATTCCTCTCTGAGTGGCTGGCTGGCAGCCCCACCAAAATCACATGAAATGAGTATGGGGAAGGAGCTGTTGAAATGAGATAGGGATATGGTGCTTGTGTTGTTACAAGAAGAAAGTGTGGGGAAAAACCCAAACCAAACTCAAATCCACTACCATCAAGTTGATGTCCACTCATAGTGACCCCCATTAGGTTTCCAAGGCAGTACATCTTTATGGAAGTAGATTGTCCCATTGTCCTTTCACAGAGCAGCTGGTAGGTTTGAACCGCCAACCTTCTGGTTAGCAGTCAAATGCCTTAGGCACTGCACCACCAGAGCTCCTTTGTGGAGAAAAGTACTTCATAAATAAAAGCCGACCATCACATCACAGTTAACAGTGCCCTCTTTTTTTTTTTCTTTAAACAAACATACGAACACAGGTGATTTCTTTCTTAACAAAAATGAGATCATACTACTTGTATTGGAACTTTATATATATTGTAGAGAGGAACTTAGAAAAAAATCAGAAGGTTAGATTAGTCTGTTTTATTAATTTAACAGTACGTGTGCTGAAAGAGAATCTTCATTCAAATAAAGAATGCTGTAGAAAACTCTTTGGAGGCAAAGTAGTAGCCCAAGATCATAGATGGAGTTATTTCTATAGGAAATAAATGAGTATCCTTAACTTCTAGTAGCCATAAAGTCTTAGGGCTAGAAAGGGTCGTGAAAATTGTCTTAACAAGTACTTCTCATTTCAGTTAAGTGGAACTTTTAATAACCTTTTTAGTTTCCTGTCTTGCTCCAAAAGACAAGCGTTAACAAGCCATTTTCCTGACTTACGCTTGTAATAAGGATTCTTGCACAGCATGTGATTTGTTCAGAGTTAAATATGCAAGCTTGCATGGTATTTAGAGGCTTATTATGTACATATCTTAACCTTCCCATTTTCAAAATGATTTCTCCCTTTTGAGCCATTAATCCTAAATTTGCATGCATGTGTGTGTGTGCTGTCTTTTATGCAAAGGTGTTTCTACATAAGATGATTAATCCAAGTACAGTTAAAATGATGCTGACCAAATTAATTTCATTTAAAGCTTAGTTGTTAGCCAAATGCTAGGTAAAATCTTGTATATGAATAATGTTAATCCTTTAAAAATATTTGATACTTAAAAAATTACTCTCGATCATTTGTACAGATTGTTTGAGGACATTGGCTTCTAGATAAAATTGAACATGTCCTCCCCCATCCTTTGTTTACTAGAATTAGTCAAAATTTGTGAAAAATCCCCAAGTGGAAATCTCCTTAGAGAAAGCAAATCTAGGACCATCTGAGATGTTAGAAAGTAATAAATCTTTTTTAATTTTTAATTTCCTGGTAAAATCAATGAGGAGTAAAGGAAGTTAGATTACTATATTAAAACATTTAGGAAAATATAAATAGAGTTTCTCATTTGCTAACTGTATGGCCTTGAGCAAATACTCTCTTTAAGTCTTACTTATATTCTTCATCTGAAAATGAGGATAATAGTATCTACTTCATAGAATTTATATGATTACTACATGAGATTGTGCATGTAAAATTCTTAGCTTCATACCTGCTACATAGCAGCAGTTGCTCTTGATGGTTGTTGGTGTCAAGATATCGAGGAGGAGGATGTTGGCATAAGGTTTAAGAAGAATTTTGAGTTTTTTTTCCATCTCACAGATTTTAAATTGTGTTTCTGTGATAGGTGGTGGACTTTGTAGCAGCAACTCTGCAGAGAGCATGTGCAAGTGTGGCCCATCAGGCAGAGAGCACTGTGGAATCGCAGACGCTGAGCATGTGTATGGGGCTGGTAGCTGTCATGCTGGGAGGAGCGGTTCAGGTGAGTTGTGTGAGACAAACTAGAGTAGAAGGAAAAGAGAAGAGAAAAACCTGTTACTTCCTTTCTATACTCTTACAAAGAATAAGACTAGGGATTGCATATAGGAGTACCAGGCTAAACAAGTCAGATTGTTAATGGGAATTCTCTCCAAAGTAGAGGACAAGAAAATTACACCACTTCTAATTTACCACCTGTACAGACATCACCATCAGAAGGTTGGAGCCCTTTCTGACCTGGCACAAACTTGATTTATAATCTATGTTTTGCATCATTAGGTGAGTACTGTATTCTCTGGCCATTACTATAATGACTCTTTGAAACCCAACCTTTGTACCTACCAATGGAGTCTGGGGAAAACCTTAGTAACCTACTGGTTACTCTATTTTAGCACAGAATTTTAGCTCTATTTTAGTACCGGATTCATTGTTCAAACCATAGCAATCAGTAAGAACCCCTCTGGGAATGGATTTATTTTTGAATTTGAGGATTCACGTTTGATTCTGATGCTTAATATACAAGAATGTATTTGTTCCTAGTACCCAGGTTGTGAATGAGAGATCTGTTCCTAAGTTTGTAAGTTTAATTTGTAGGTAAGTTGGAATGGCTCTTATTTAGCCTTCCTTTAGTGCAAGAAAAGGCTGGAAGTCTTTTCAGTGATTTAAAAGGTGCACATGAGGCAAGTGAAGGTGATTGTGGTGAGGAATGTGTTGTAAGTAGGGGTTGAATCAGTCATTTCAAAGTGAGGGCAAATTTACGTAACATTAAAGGATAAGTATGAGTTGTCCGTAAGTCAGACGTTCATAACCCAGGGACTGGCTGTATTAGAATTTGCCTCTCTCTAGCCTGTTCCTAAAGGGAATAGGAATTTTATCTGAATCTGCTGTTGATGCCCATTTTTTGATCGAGTTGCTTAGCACTCTGTATTTCCTATGTTGGTTGGAAAAAAAGTTTTTGGTTCAGTTTCTAGAGCCATATTACGTCCCTGCTGTTAGAACTACAATTTTAATATTGAGGAGGGCTCACAGCAGAATAGGTTTTCTTAAATTGTATTGTTAATGGATTTAGTTGGACTGATTGATTTTTGTTTTTCTGGTTGAGCATTAATTTGTATAGTCTTTGTTTCTATAAATTGTGCCTTTTTGCTTTCTCTTTTCTCTTATCATTTAACATTTATAATTTCAAACCACATCCCAAGTGGAAAATTATATCACAGAAATCTCAATTTCCGTCTCTAGAAGCCCATGTTTGGGGCTGTGTAAATCAGTCATGTTGTAAGAGAGACTCACCTGATTGATGCAAATACAGTTTTCCTTGCCTGTCCCTGCCCTTCAGTGAGCCATCCTGACTCACTAATTACACCCTGGATTCCTCTGACTTTGCAGTTCCTTAAATGAACATACACAGGTCACCTCTGTACTTTTGCCCCAGATCTATTAATTTTTTTCTTTCTCTTTGATTCATAGATTTATATATGTCTGCTGTAGTAATACTGGGTTTTCTGTCTTTGTGTTAGAGAAAAAATTCATACGATTCTGAATTGTGTTCGCAGATTATTATTATTATCAGGCTAGAGTCTTTGTGTTAGAGTCTAGAAGATTATACTGTACCCATCCCCTATTAGGATTTGGCTAATGAAACAGAATCTAACACCAGCTGAACAGCTGAACCTTTTTTTCTTTCCTTTGTAATTTGTGTAATTAAGGTGATTATTAGAACGTCGTGTTTGGGAAGAAGAGCTCATTTGGAGAAAGTGTAGCTTTTAGACTGCTAACAAGAGTACTGTAATTTCAACCTTATTTTCTAAATTTCAGGGTTGGTCATCAGTAAAAACAATATACCGGTAACTCTTCCCTGTCCTTCAGAAGCAGTTTCTGCATTATGTTCTAGGGCCCACTGGATCCTCCAAAGCAGTGCTGCATGAAGCTGACTAAGGTGTTCTTGACCTTCTTTAGAAAAAACAAAAACAATGAAACATGCTGTTTCCAGGAAGCAGTGTAGCCTATCAGTTAAAAGTTCGGCTTTGAATCTTTAAATTCTCTTATTTGTTAGACATATGTCCTTAGGCAACTTACTTAACCCTACTCCTCAATTTCCTTATAAAAATGACAGGAAAAATGTTGTTGATAGGTGCTGACCAGTCGGCTCCGACTCATAGCAACCCTATGTACAACACAAGGAAACACTGCCAAGTCCTGCACCATCCTCACAATCTTTGCTATGCTTGAGCCCATCATCACACTCACTGTGTCAATCCATCTTGTTGAAGTCTTCCAGACTTTTTTGCTGACCCCTCTACTTTACCAAGCATGATATCCTTCTCCAGGGCCCAGTCCATTCTGACAACATGACCAAAGTATGTGAGACAAAGTCTGGCCATTCTTGCTTCTAAGGAGCATCGCAGCTGCACTTCCTCCGAGACAGATTTGTTCTGTTCTTCTGGAAGTCCATAGTATTTTAATTATTCTTCACCAACAACACAGTTCAAATGCATCAATTCTTCTTTGATCTTCCTTATTCATTGTCAAGCTTTTACATGTATACAAGGCTATTGAAAATACCATGGCTTGAGTCAGGCACACTTTAGTTTCAAAGTGACATCTTTGCCGTTAAACACTTTAAGAAGGTCTTTTGCAGCAGATTTGCCCATTGCAATATGTCATCTGATTTCTTGCTGCTTCCATAGGCACTGACTGTGGATCCAAGTAAAATGAAATCTCTGACAACTTCAATCTTTTCTCTGTTTATCGTGATGTTGCTTTTATTGGTCCACTTGTAAGGATTTTTGTCTTCCTTATGTTGAGGTGAGGGAGCTCTGGTAGCGTAGTGCCTAAGGCATTTGACTGCTAACCAGAAGGTTGGCAGTTCAAACCTACCAGCTACTCTGTGGATGGAAGACTGGGCAGTCTACTTCCGTAAAGATTTGCCACCTTGGAAACCCAAAGGGGGTCGCTATGAGTCGGAATTAACTCAATAGTAGTGAGTTTGGTTTTTGGTATGTTGAGGTGTAATCCATACTAAAAGCCGTAGTCTCTGATTTTCATGAGTAAGTGCTTCAAGTCTTCTTCACTTTCAGCAAGCAAGTTTATGTCATCTGCATATCACAATAATCTTGTTAATAATTCTTCCTCCAATCCTAATGCCATGTTCTTCTTCATATAGTCCAGCTTCTTGGATTATTTGCTCAGCATACAGATTGAATAAGTGTGGTGAAAGGATATAACTCTGATGCACACCTTTCCAGATTTCAAATGGATTTTTATGGTTTTTGTAAAGAAGGATAAGTTAAATAGTACATGAAAAGCATTTAATACTGTGCCTAATACACTTAATAAGTGTTAGGCATTTATTATTTTGATTATTGTTACCATTATTATCTTGTTCCCTTTGACACATGCTGAGTGATTAAGGCTGATCCAGTAAGCTAATGTGTTGCCATTGTGATGCATTTTAGTTTCAATTAAAGATTTAAGTCAAAGATTTATTGTGTACTTATTATGAGGTAGGCATGATATGTCCTGGAGAATACAAAGATATAGTCTGTACCTAAATACTTGTCTGATGGTTATATTTGTGTGTCAACTTGGCTAGACCTGGTTGAGTGGTAGTATTCCCCATGATTAGACTGGCAGTCAACTCCATGGTGGGATCTACCACAAGCAGCTGAGTAGCTGCCTTTGGGAATGTGGTCTGCTTCCTGTATATAAAGAGAAGCCTTGGGAATGGTCTCTAGCCTATGGCACGCTTGGACCCTGCATGTAGCCATGTCGTTGCTCAGCAGCCTGCTATGCTCTGCCAACCTTGGGACTTACAATGGACTTAAATGGCTTGCCGTGTGGTTTGGTAACATCGGGACTGTGCCTTTTTACTTGTCAACCTTGGGACTTCTCAGCCTCAGCAGCCAAGGGCTGTCTGAGTGAAGAAACACCTGTAGCTCCAGTGGGTGGGGAGCAGGAGGCAGAGTTGGACCCCAAGGTTGAGGGGCTTTCACCCAGCCCCTAGAGCCTGGCACTTTGAACTTGGACTTAAAGCCTCCAAACTGTAAGAGAATCAACTCCTATTTGTTAATGCCATCCCATTTGTGGTATATTCTTGTCAGAGCGGCACTAGGTAACCAGAACAAGTTGCAATATAGTATGCAACTTAAATGCAGTAATAAAGGTATATATGAGTCAAATTGTTTGCACAGAAGAGCGCATTATCTCCTTTGCTCGAGTCAATCTGAGAATAAATAATAATAATAAAAACAACAACAATAGCAATATATTGTTAATGTTTACTGATGGCTTATTATATACCAGGCCTTATGACAGGGAAATAATATGCGTTACCTCAGTCAGTCTTCACAACTGAATATGTACAGCTCATTTTACAGTTGAAGATACTGGTACAGAGAGGCTGAGTAACTTGCCTAAAATTATCCAGCTAATAAGTGTTAGAGCTGGAATTAAAAAATTAGTAGAGATTAACAATATTCCTACAATAAAGTACAATAAGAGTATTGCCAGATTCATGTTAACAAATATATACATTCGTATGTAAACCCAGATCAAGATATAAAACACTTCTAATATCCCAGAAGTTTCCCTTTGTCCCTTCCCAATCAACAGCCATCACTTCCCCAAAAAGCAAACATTATTCAGACTCTGTCGCTATAGACTACTTTTATGTATTTTGAACTTCATTTGGATGGAATTATACCATATGCATTCCATCATGCACTCTGGTTTCTATTATTCAGTAATATTTTGTGAGATTGATCCCTGCTGTTATATGTTAAGTTCATTCATTCCCATTGCTGTGTAGTGTTTTATTGTATGAATATTCTTTTTTTTTTTTTTAATTAGGAGGATTTGGGTGAAGATTTACAGAGTAAATTCACTTTTCATACAGCAGTTCACATATACTTTGTCTCATGTCATTGACCAAAATTTACAATGCA